TAACTGATTTTTTTTATTATTATTATTATTATTAAGAAAGACCATCAACATTTAGGTGCAGTGGTTTTGTTGGCAATGACCCATCTGTAGAGTGAGATCACCTGAGGGTGTGAGGGTCATGTGACAGTGAGAATCTGAATCATCAGTGGGGCGTGTCATCGGTGAAGCACCTCTAATGATTGGCTCACAGAGGAGAAAGAGAGCCAGAGAGATACATTACCTCATAGCACAGGAAAAAGAGATGAGGTCATACTCACCTGACTCATATTCCCAGCTCAGAGAAGCATTTACACTCAAAGTAAACCCCAAGTGTTTATGTGAGAGAGAGAGAGAGGAGGGGGAAGGGTCAGTGCAGTCATAGAGCTCAATGCAGCAAGACCTGAGTGATGGCCATTGATAATAATATCCCTTCAAACATAAATGATAAAGCAAGAGAATATAAGCACTTATTATAGAGATAATATTATATTATTATTAATGTTGTTGTTGTTTACAAATAAATAAATACCAATCATGTAGTCCATATTAAGTGTGATTAATTAATATTGAATTTCTATATTATATAGTATTATGTATGTTTTATAATTAATATATATATATTGTACTGTATTATGCATTAATCAACTATTAATTAAACACTTAATATGGATTTTGTAATTGTCACAAGCCATATTAAGTCCATAATTATTTGTGCTTAAAATCCAGAAGGGGCTTTAGAAAAACATAGCAATGCATTGACAAATATTAGATAAAAATAGGGAAGTGGGTCTTTTTTATTATTATTTATTAGTTTTTGCCATGCTATTATTATTAATAATAGTATTATTATTGTCATTGCTATCACTGTTATTTACAAATTTTACAAATCATGTAATCCATATATTATATATATGACTTATATTATAATTCTGTATTAATTAAGTCTTAATCACACTTAATATGGATTCTGACAATCAAGTAATCCATATTAAGTGTGACTAACTCATATTTAAATTATATAAATCATCATTTGTTCACATGTGACATATTTAGATAATATATGTGAATGAATTATGATTTATTATTTTATTGTATTATAATTATGTCGTGTATTAATTAAGCTTAAGGTATTAATGCCGACTGATTCATGTCATTGTTATGTGACACCACATTACGGCATGCATACTGACAAATGCTCTGCTGGATGATGTCATATTAGGTCATTATTTATAGAATGTGGGTGTAGTGTGTACAATATGAGTATATGCAAACATATTGGCTCTGCCAGGAAAGAGAATGTTCAGCACAGACTTCAAGAGACACTTCCAATGACTAGACGCAGATTCGACTGAAACAAGCAAAGTGAACGAGCGGAAAGACAAAAGGGGGACTTGATAAACAAAAGAACCAGGCCCACAGACAGACGGAGCAGGCAGGGAAACATGAGCTGTTATCCATAGCTGATATTGATTTGGGCCTTGGGCTCCCAGTGGAGACCATTAATGGAGGCAAATGACCTTTTGGACATACTGACTGTCACTAAGGTGCTGGCACTGATCCAGAATATGTGAGAAAGACCCGTCATGTACATCTCATATTAGTGCTGCCATCTGATCGACTCACGCTGATGCAACTTTAAGTGTCCAGCTGTCTGACTGACCAATGAAAACACCGGAAAAACTGCAGATGCAAATGAGAAGAGACTGAGTGTAAACAGTCACCTCTATATTTGCCATGAGAAGAATTTCCTAAGCATTTCCTAAGAAAGTAATTAAGTATGCTTGCCTTTGATGGTAAATAAATATGACATTCTGTATAGTCAATATGTAAATGAAACCAGTTACTACACTACACTCTCATGTCGTCACCACAACCACATTTTTTTTTTTCAAAGATGATGCATTGCATGCATTTGTAAGTATATACCTGCATTTCATCTGATGGATATTATTTATAATATTTATTTCAACACACACACACACACATTGTATTTTTTATTATTATTAGTGTTTAAACTGTTTTATCTAACCCTAACTAAACTATAAATAATATGTTCCATTGTGACAACTTACCTCATATAGTGTGACAACATGCACCACTTTAAGTATAATCAAATTATTATTATTATTTTTTTTTAGATATGTACATGTATTTTTAAAATTTGTATTTTTATGTTCAAAAGCTTTTCAGTAGATTTTGTATAGGCTAAATATGTGTCAATACAGAATCTGATTTTCAAAAATAAAATATTAATTACCATTTTAGGGTACAATAAGACAATAAGAAATTAATTTGTTTAATATTATTAAATAGATTTAAAATATCAACAGCTGGTATTGTTTACAGTTCAAACTAAAATATATTTGGATGCTGATGATGATTATTATGTTGTTGTTGTTGTATTAAAGTTGATTTTAAAAAATTACAAAATGAATGAATTCAAAATATGTTGACCTTAAATTGGGGCATGTTGTCACACTATGTGGGGTAAGTTGTCACAATGGAACCTATTCAATAGCATTTTATTGGCTAGCTAGTGTTAAAACAGTTTAAACACTAATAAAAGCACACAATTTGTTTTGGTAAAGAGATATTATAATTAAAACAACATATTACATTATTAAGTACATGTATTTTTTTTTATGTATTTTGTATGTTTATGTTAGTTTCAATAATAAGCCCACCTTCAAAATATTAAAAAATATAATATTAAAAAAAATAATGTTGAAAATATTAATTGGTAAAAAGTGTAACTACTAGTGTTATCAGTTAAAAAAAATTACATTTAATGTTTTTAATACTATTTAAAATATCAGCATCTTGTATCAGTTCTACAATTCAAACTACAATATATCTGTATTAGTATTAGTATTAGAATTAGTATTAGTATTATTGCTGCTGCTGTTGTTGCTGTTCCAGATTTCATCTTTGCCGCCGCATCATGAGGACAGTGTCGTCTGAGGTGGAAACACGAATGCTCTTTGTTCAAGGTTTGCCTTCGATGTTGCTAGACACGTGCTCGCTCTCCTCTCTCTCTCCCTCTCTCTCACTCTACCATAAATGTGCAGTGCAGATCCTGCAACGTCTGTCTGATAACTCCCCGCGTCTCTTCTTCTCAGCGCCTCTCAGTGTAACAGCACTCCATGCGCAACGGTAGTCCAAACAACAACTCAGTGACCCGCTGCAACCAACGGCAAACAGGGTGGGCGGACCCCCAAATTATGTCAGTTTAACTCTTTCAGTTTGGGGAAATATTGGGGCCAGATGTTTCAGTTCCTCTGCTTGACACTCGCCGCGTATTCTCGGTCATGTTATGACACTCCGCTGATCAAACATTACAACAGAAGTGCTGCTGTTGAGATGCAGAGCGGCAGCTGGATGGTGTTGTTTGCAGGCGCACATGTGTGATCATTCTGGCACGCCTCTCCTCTCCTCACAACACAACACAATGAACTATGATATTGTAGCCTAATATTTACGACATAAATTGATGTTTTGGATTATTCATTAGAAGTGAGTTGTTGGTTGCTACAAAGGAGTCTGAAATGCAACGGGGTGGATGGATAGATAGATGGATGGACGGTGACTCTGTCTCAGCGAGGCAGGGCATGGCAAGCTGTTTGAACATTTATTATTTTACACTAGTAGCTTATCCATTTTAGAAATAAATAAATCGATTATCTAACAACAACAACACTAAAAATAGGGATTATTTTTAGTATTATTAAGTTATTACCGATAGATACCAGTATATTTCTCAGGCTTAAAGGATAAAAGAATATATAAAGTAGGCTAATATAAAAATAACAAACAATTTTCTTAATACAAACGTCATTTTTTTGTGCAATACTGCTATTCTTTACTGGTGTTCATATTAATATTTTTATGAATAATGATGACACTTGCAGGTGATAATTAAATTACACCATGCAATCAATCAATCAATAAAAACCACATGTTGTTAAATGTCCCATAAATGTAACTGGATAAGTATTACTACTAATAATACATTAAAATAATAAAACAATAATACTAAAATATCAAAATATGTATAATGCATATTGTTTTTATTTTTGAAATTGAAATTGTATTTTTATTACAAGGTAGAATTAAAACAGTATTTTTGTTTATAGTTACTTTATCATTACAGTAATTTTGAACCAGTGTTACTTTTATGTAATTTATATAATTTAAAAAAAAATTATAAAATGTATTTACATTAACTGGACACATATTACTAATGATAAATTAACATAATAACATAATATTAAAATATGCTTAGTGCATATTATGTTTTTTTTGTTTATTAGATTTTTTGTTGAAATATTAGTAGTAATTCTATAATAATTACATTAAAAATATTCAAAATAAGAATTAAATTACAATTTTGCTTATTGTTAGTTAAAATAGAAACGAATCGGTTTCTATTTAATTTTTGTATACGAAATATAATTTTACATAT